AGAATAAAGAGTGTATCTATGTGTGTCAGCAGCCCAGGGTAGGGTGTCAGCAAAGGCCAAGTCGGAGAGGAAACCCTAGGGCAGGGTTTTGAGGCCAGATGAGAGAGGGAGCAAAAAGCAAGCAAGTGCTCAAAGGATGATGAGACGTGTGAAAAGGAACCAAAGCTAAAAAGAACCACAACTGAGACAATCGGAGTATCAATGTAAGGAATGTAAATAAAGTCAGTAACAGATCAAAGCCCTTGGAATAAAATAAAATACATGAGTCCATTAGGATATAATAAGTAAATGAATAAAAGTTTGATGAGAAACAGAGTATTTATAATGTCAAAAGTAACCTCTCCCCCTAAAGATGTTAATTACAAAGGGAAAAATGGTAACTTTATAGTGGCAATGTCAGTAATATACCACCTTAATCAAATGATCAAAATGATGTCATTAGTAATGAGACAAAATCAAAGTTGTGCCAGCTAATACGATGCTATGGTAGCCAGCTTCCAAGAAGATGATCCTCGTGTCCTAGTATTCATGCCCTTGGGCTAATCTCGGTCCACACTGAGTGGCCTTGACCTGGGTAACCAATAGGATATCACAGAAACTATGTGACTTCTGATGTTAGGTCCTAGGAAACATTGCTCACCCTTGGGGGAGCCAGCTGCCATATTGTAAGGACACGCAAGCTGTCCTAGAGAGAAGGCCGCATAGTGAGGAGGTGGTGTTTCTGCCGCTCACTGCCACTCACTTGCCATGTGAGTGAGTCACCTTGCAAGCAAATCCTCTAGCCCCGTCAAACCTGCAGATGATTATAGTCCTGCCAACATCTTCATTGCACCCTCATTAGAGAACCACCCTCATCAGAGAACCACCATTTTGCACACAGAGCCTGCCAAATAATGTTTCTGGTTTTCAGTACTAAGTTTTGGAATAACTTAATATGCAGGTTTGGGCACTGATACAGATGTCGTGAGATATTCCTGCCAGGGCTGTACAGCCTGAATCTAGTCCTGATGAAACAGAAAACAAACACTAGTCAGGAGGCATTCTGAACAAACGTCGGCCTGAAGTCTTCAATAGAATCAAGGTCAGACAAGTTAAAGACAGACTGAGAAACTGTCCTGCAATGAAGGAGACTGGAGACATGAGGATTTTCCATGCAATGCTTGGTCCTGGGTGCTTTTGATGTAAGGGACATTATAGGGACAGTTGGCAAAGTTTGGAGACTGATGCTTAGAAGATAGTAATGTGTGGATCTGCATATTTTTATTTTGGTGGCTGTATTGTGGTTATTTAGTGGGATGTACTTTAGAAAAGACACACTAAAGTATTCAGAAGTGATGAGGCATCATCAGGCCAGCAGTTCACTCTCAGATAATTAAAGAAAGAAGTTCTCCACTTGCAACATTTCTGCAAGTTTGAGATGGTTGAAACATTTTTTAAAAGTATGCAAAAAGGAAAAATATAGAACAGTTTTAAAAATACGTTTTGAAAGGGATGTATAGTATTCAAGTTTTGTATCAAAAAGTAATTTCTTTTACCAGTCTTTCATTGCCGGGCATTTAAATGGATTCCAGTTCTTTGCTATTATAAACACCCAGTTCTTTGTTATTATAAACAGTGTTAGTAAATATCCTTATCAACATGTTTATACTCTTGTTCAATTTTTGCCCAAGAATAAATCCCTGGAATCAAATTGCTATGTGAATGGATATGTACCTTTTAATCAGTTTAATCATAAGTCATTGTAGGAAACCACATAGAACCTCCTTAAAATAAAATGAAATTTATATTTGGTAGTTACTTTCATTTGTTTTTCCCCCACTGGAAGGAGTGGGAACTTTATCTGTTTCAATTGTTACCATCCTCAGCATTAAGATAGTCTGAGGTACTCAATAAATATGTGTTGCAACAATAGTAACAGCATATATTTATTATATGTCTGAAACTCTTCTAAGAATATGAATTAACTTTTTCCTTGTAACGACCCTGTGAGATAAGCTGTAGGATTATTTCCACTTTGCAGATAAGGAAACTGATTCAAAGAGAGGCTGGGTACTCAGTGGTTTCACAAGGCCAGTCAATGGTGGAGCCAGGAGGCCAGGTATCGTTTTTCTTTGGTTTACAAGCTCTAAGCCACTATGCTATCCTGGTTTTCTCTTGTCGAATAAATAAATCAATGAATGAATGTTCAATATATTTATTTGATTCTTTGACCAGTTACAGAATTCAACTCTTTTGGGGTTTCTTTTCTTTTTTTTTTTCAAATGAAAATGGAAAGAAATGGACTGCTTACTTTGTAAAAGCCAAATTAGCTTATGGTCCTCTATACCAGGCTTGACTGCACTATGTAATAGTACTGCTCCTGGAATTAATATCCGTACAGGTATAAACTGTAAATTGTTCTTACTAAGAATTTATGCATCTGTAAACAGAATATTTGCTTTGTATTACAAATAAAATAGTAAATCTGGATCTACAGCTGGAGTCTAGGGGGCAGAACCTATATTGCATTACTTATTCTTTAAACACATCCTCTGCTCCCGCCTGGACTCCTGTGCCCTGTCCTTCTCTGCACCAGGAGTGCCCATGTCCATCTCCTACAGTGGAAACCCACCCACCCTCCACGCTCCCCTCAGCAGTCACCTCTTCCACTGAAGACTGCTTTACCTTTCTGTTCTTTTTTACCCTCCTCTTGAAGGTTGAAATGAGCTTTCCTACCTCAAAATTCCCTGAATCCTTTTTACAGTACTCTTTTTATAACATTGTAAACATACCTTATATTAATTGTGTCAAGTCCTCATCTCCCATAATAGGCTATATTCTCTTTTAGTTTTATTCATTTTATAAAACCCCAACATATTACGATATTTTATACAGAATATGGAATTACGTATGTGTTTTAACGAGGGAATAAATTATTTCAAAGAAATATATTTGAATTTTTAAAATCCTAATCAGAAGACTACTAAATTGTTTTGAATATTATATATTTAAAAATGATCAGGAATTATAAAATAACAAATGAAATGGTTAGACATGATTTTTTTCATCTGATGATTTGTATTTTGTTTACAAGGCATCAAGTACCAAGAAGCATAATTGGCTTTCATTCCTATAAGACCTTGTGTTTAGTTCATGGCTGCAAATATCAGCTTTGCTTCCACCCACAACTTCAGTTCCCTTTTCTTTTAGTAGGTGCTTTGGCGCATCAAAGGTAATAAAATCAATCAGAGATAAGTGGAATTTTTTTTCAAAGGCTAGTACTTAAGATGCGTTCCTGTTAAAGAATTTCAATACTAAATTTGTTTTCAAGTGTTTGTATAATACCAAATTTCCCTGCCAACTGGAAAGACTGTCCTTGAATCCTGTTCTGCATGAAATAATAAAGTATTACCCTTTCTCCACATATACTTAAAAAACAAGAACTTCAAGGAATGTTAAGTATTGTCATCAGACAGGATTTTACTTTGTTGCTGGCATAGCCTTCAGGCCAGTTGTTTCTATTCCCCTTTAAGGAGTTCTTTCCTTTACCCAGGGTCTGGGACAAAGCTGAAGTGTTTTGTTTTTCCTTTTTCTTTTTCTTTTCTTTCTTTCTTTTTTTTTCCTGAAAGTTCCAATAGCAAGCCAAAGAGAAAGTTCAAACAAATATCATCAGTCTTTTAAAAATATCATTGCTTATGTAAATTAGCAGTGGCCCTTGGGTGCTGCTGGGTCCCAAGCATCTGGGTTGGTTGGATATTCTGTCATGTTTTATCTAGAAAGCTTTGACCATGAAGTCTTTACGTTTAACTTTAGTTTGTGCTTTTTTGTTTTAGTTTGGGGTTTTTTTGTTTGTTTTTTAGATTAGCTTCACTATCTTGTGATTTCCTGAGGAGAGTTTAGAGGCTAATGTATTATTGTGGAGCACTTCTATATGATCTTACTGATGTTTACTGTGTTATTCATCTGGCCATTGGATTTGAGGTTTCCCAAACTATAATCAGTGATTAAAATTAAACTTTAAGAAATCTTTATGGTATTTTTTATGTTGTGAATGATAGATTTGAAAACAGTGCTTTCTCACCACAATCTACAAACTTGACACATAGTCTGAAATATGTTCAGGACAACAGTAATATCAAAACATGCACATTTTAGATTTTAGCCTAGTTGAGTCTCTTCATAAAATGTTGAGATGCTGCACCATTTCTGCACGGCCTCTTTTTATATTAATGCTAAGTTCTTGACCATACCCTTCGTAGATAAATTCATTTGGAGGCCAGCGGAGATTCTCCCTGTTGTTTCTACATGCATTACATTGTAAATTTCCAAACTTTATTCAGGAAAGAATACGTTTTGGGAGGCATACGTTATAAGTAATTATTACTTTGTATATTAGGTGCAGAATTATTCAGTAGGCATTTGTATTTCATATATCATGTTAACTGTAGACTTTTGGTTATCTTTGGAATAATCCTGAGAACTTCAGCGATTGCTTCTGTGGTGCCATTCATGGCAGGGGGTATTCTTCCTCTTCCTCAGCTCTGTGGTACATAAACATAAACATGCCTTTGTGCTCAACATCTTTCTCTATGTATCCGAGTGCTTTGTCTCTGCTTCTCTTAGCGCCCCCTTTCTTTTGCCCTTAGCCCGTCATTTGCGTAAATAAGTTTGTTTATATTCAGCAGAGAATTAAGTGCATCTTTGATGATAGAAGGGAATGTTATAGTAAGTCAGAAGAAATACCGAGAGTGGGATGGAGGAGAGGGAAAAGGGGGGCAAAGTCGGGAGGAAAAGGGAGAGAGTGGGTGTGAGGTAGGAAGAAAGAGCAAAACAGAGACCTCTGGGGCTTTGTGAAATCTTGGGGACTGTTGCGGGGGAGGGAGATCCACTGACCAGCATTTTCCCCAGGCTTGGGCTCAAGCTTGTGAAACTGCGAATGTATTAAAGAACCTCAGCTGGGATTTGCCGAGGACAAATGCTGTAATGTGTTAGTCATCCATTATCTGCTTCTATTTTTGCAGGTCCTGAATGATGACTGACGCGGGTTGGTGTGATATCCCTCACGGTCCCTGTCATTCCCCAGTGATAAGGGACGCGCAAGTCTAGCCCCAGCACCAGGGTAAAAAGAAGGGGAAAAAAAGAAAGAAAAAGCAGCTCTAGGAGGAGGAAAGCTTCCGCTTGCGAACCGGACAAAAGTACCGCCTTCCCACGGGTTTCTGGGTGAGGCTAAGGCTCCAGACTCGCCGGGTCCTGCTCGCCGGCCGCTCTCGCCGGCAGATGGTGTGTGGCCGCCGCCGGACGCCCGCCGCGCCCCGGCCATGAAGTAGCGGCCGCTGCCGACGCGGCCCCAGCGCTGCGCTGCCGGCTCTCCCGGCGGGGCCGGAGCGGCGTGGACATGGCTGGCGTTCGGAGCCTGCTACTTCTCCTCCTCGTGTTTCCAAGCAGCTGCCCGGGGTTCAGAAGCCCACTTTCTGTCTTTAAGAGGTGGGTGCGTGTGCTGTTGCTGTCTAAACGGGCGGAATGTTGTTCGGGTGGTGTCTGCGTGCTGTTGAAAACTGGGATCACTTTTGGGGACCTGCGTGTCGGAGGAATAGACAACGCTGCTTTACTTTGCTGGGCTGACTTGGGATTTTAGCACAGTAACTTCTTGTGAAGTCCCCTTTATAGGGGAAAAAACACACACAAACCCACTGTAGTGTAAGCCAGGCTGCACTGGCTTTCAAAACTTCAATTAGAAGTTGTCATTTCCAATACAGATCGCTCCCTCTTGGGGAGATATTTCAGAAACGACATCTAGGCGTTTAGACTTGAATGCCTTCTTTTATAATAGCTGGAAGAATAAAATATCAATATAGGTAAGTGGTGGGGAGAATCAGAGCATGGGCTGGAAGAGCTCACGGGAAAACACTGGGCTGTAGACACACTCCTCATAATTACCATATTAAATATTTATGCGCTTATACATTTGTAATTCACATCACAGCTCCCCCCACCTCCTATTCTGCCTCCTAGCATTATTATTGTTGGTTTTTGTTTCTGACTAGTAATATGAGGCACTCAAAATACTAACAAAAATGTTACTAGGTTATAGTTAATATTTCTTCCATTAGAAAATTGTCAGGTCTGATAATTTCTGATTTATTAATACTGTATTTTCATTAACTAGAAACAAATAAGTAATTTGACAAGTTTTTATTGAATTGAGTTTTAAATGTAACCTGCTTGTTTGCTTTGATTACATTTTGTTTACAAGTTAGACATATATTGCTCATGGACTGTAAAGTCCAATTCTGAGAATGTTTTAGAATATTATATAGTTATCACATCTTTTCATCTGGTCTAAATCAATAATCTTTAATTTTACAGTCATAGAATCCCTTTCTTTTTTCTTTCTCATTTCAAGTTAAAATTCCATTATGTTCAAAGATATTGAATTTTTTTTTTTAAGGTTTAAAGAAACTACCAGATCATTTTCCAATGAATGTCTTGGTACCACCCGACCAGTAACTCCTATCGATTCATCTGATTTTGCATTAGATATTCAAATGCCTGGGGTCACACCTAAACAGGTGAGGTGAATTCTATATTTTATTATTCACTTGTTCTATGTACAATTTATAATTAAAGCAAAGAAACTGTATTTATAGCAGTAGTAACTTCTTTAAAAATAGGCATTTGCTTTCAAGACTCCTCAGGGCTAGAACAATTGACTATTATAGAGAGGAGTACATCTTTCAAGGTAAATACAGTATTTCAGTTAAATTTTTTTCTCAAAAATTTTACTCATATTGTTAGCTGTGTTTGGAAATGGAACCTTGAAAATTTACGTTTTGAAATTCTCAGTGGAATCATAGCCTCGGTACTACAACATGCGGTATGTATTAAAATATGAAAAATTATTCTAATAAAAGGAAATGACATTGAGCAGCTACATCTAAGAGTTTACTTTGTTTAAATACCCTTCTATCGCAGCCACAGGTTAAGAGCCAAAGTCATGTGTTTACTGCCAAGAATCTGAAAAACAAAATATTTCACACTTTAAAAGTTAAGAGAATTGTTCATACAGGTGGTGGATTGTAAGTGTTCCATAGCACAATTTGCTTGTTTTAAGAGATGTATTGTGAAGAAATGATTGCAGAATTCATACAAGCGTCACATATAGCATTTTGAGTAGAACTAGGTTGTGGCGAGGGCTTTCCCTGTTTTAAGTATACACAAGAAGCTCAAACTCACTTCTCTCATGTGTTTAAGGTGTTTCATTAAGCATGAAAAGGCCAGAATTAATTATGCTTTGCAAGCAGGCAGTGCAGGGATTTATTTGTGCCATTAAAAGATAGTCCTCTCCTTTCTCAGGGCTGCAGCAACAGGGACCTACGTGTTACAGAACTGCAGTGCCTGATGACTCACAGTTGCAGATAAAATTTGATTTTTCTTGTCTCTTTAAGTACTGAGAAAACAAAAGTCTTCTCCTTACTGGGGAGAATTCCTTTGAAGCTGACATTCAGAAGCTCGAGAAAATATACATAGTCCTCTGTGGGGGGACTAAGGACTGACATTCATTTATTTGGATACCTGTATATGATCTAACGATCTTAATTGACTTCTTTTACTACTCTGAAAATTACCCTCACTCCCCTAACCCCTGCCCATACTCAGGTGACCAGCCAGACGACTCTTCTGTATGTTCAGTTGTTAATGTTCTGGCCTTTAATTCCATAAGGTCTTTATTTAATATTTAGTCAGAAGAGCTGTCATGAGATTGGGAATAGGAGAGATTGACAGTTGCTCACTTGTGAAGTGTGCTTCTTATTGTCTTTTCTCATTTTTAAATGATTTTCCTCCTATATTTGCTTAACTGACTTTATATTACTTTTTTTTTTAAACCACTGTGATCTTTTGCACCTTTTTTCCTCCCAAGAATATTATTATTTTCTCAAGTAGTCATTCGGTTCATTATTCTGGGTTTTTTTTTCTTCTCATTATTTGATAGTAAGAACATTTAAATTATATAACAATCATAATAAGTAATTGTGTTGGGGTCAATATTCTCAGAAAGAGTTCCTAGAAGAATTCATTGTAAAAAAAAAATGTAGAGGAGCACCATTTTCATAAAGTAAAATGTGTTTACTCATTTTTATAATCTTATAATTATCAAAATAACTCCATGGAAAAAGAATATATATTTAGTAAATTACAGGCTTGTTATTTTGTGCTATCTGCATTCAGCTTTGCCTCATGTAGTAGAAATGTGCTAGTTCCCTTCCCAACATAAAATTCTTTGTTGCTCCTTCTCTTGAGACTGTGTGGTTCCCAGGAGTTGTCTATCCAGGACCCAGAAGTGGAGCGCATGAACTAGCATTAGCAGATTGTTGTAACCCACCTCCCCTTTCAAAGTGACTGGTTCAGAAGAAGGTGTATGACCAAGACTAATCCAATGAAATCTTAGGACTTTTGCTGGGAATCGATTTTTCTGTTGCATGTGAGCCAGGCCTAGGATTGGCTGAGTTCATGAGCGGAGCCATGCCTAGAATAAAACTAATCTGTAGAATGCGATGCAGAGAGACTGAAAGAAGATAGGTTCTTGTGGCAATGCTACTTAGGGAATTTGCAACTGTGTTAGCCTTTCTTGTTTCAACCAGGTCCAGTTGGGTTTTCTCTGACTTGTAACTGAAGCTATCTAACTGGATAAGTGGTTCACTTGTTTTGTCTGATCAGCTCAGAGCAGGTTGTGGAAAGTTTCTGCCACTTCCCCCGTCACTCTCTACTGTCTGTGCCACAAGTACTTACTGACTTGATTTGGTTGACATATAGGTTAGATACCTTATCACCTTCATGAGAAATGGTAGTTATACTTCCTATTGAGGATACTCAGAAAGAAGTGGATAAAGAAACCCCATATCCCTTTCCTCCTGAACTTGGTGTTCTTGTTAACGAAGACACAGTGCTTTAATTGTGAGAGTACTTTTGATGAAGAAAGTATTATTTTCTTAAAAATGCAGGTGAAACTAAATTTAACACAGATCCTTAAGAGGGAAGGAGCTAAAAAGGCAAGGAAAGAAAAATAAAAAAGTACTAGATGAAAGAAATAAAAGATGGAAGGGAATAAGAAGAGTAGGCCAAAAAAAAAAAAAGAGAGAGAGAGAGAGAGAGAGAAAGACAAGAGAATAGAATGATCAAGAACAAAAATAAAAGGAAAAAGAAATCAAGAATAACTATAATATGAAGAACAGAACAGTTAAAAATTATATCAGGAAGAGAGGAGTAAGGAAATCATAAAAACAAGGAAAGCATTGAGGAGTTAAAATGTTGTTGTTTTTTAATGGCAGAAGATCAAGAAAAACAACAAAATTAAAAGAAAGGAAGGACTGAGAACCAGAACTTGAGTTGGTAATTGAGGCAGACCAGATTGATTAAGAGATGTGTTTATTCCATAGATTTTATAATAAAGCACACCTTAAGTTTTGGCAGGAATGAAAGATACATCAGTGAATCTCGTGTAAGCCCTTTCTTGCGAAACTTGAGATTGTTAGGTAGCCTTGGAAAGAGAAACAGCAGATGTAGAATAGAGGCAGAGAGAACCTCACCTATAAGATAGAGAGCACAGCTAACTAATGTTGCTGATGAAGTACATGCCTAGATTAATGTTCTACCAAAGAATATCCAGTCATGTCAGGCCTCTCTGAGTTGCAGACCATTCTGCTATTCCATAAACTTCAGAGCAGACTTTAAAAATGGCTCCCGTTAAACTAGCTCCAGGGAGTCCGGGGAAAGTAGTTTATTATCAATTGTAATACCAATTTTATAATCAAAGTGAGCTTACTCTTCTTCTTCTCTGACTTGAAATTAAAAAAAAGAATTTTTGTCTTCTTTCATAAATTTCTCATTGATCAGTTTCTTTTCAGGCTTTGGGAAGATTAGGGAGAAGAGTAAGCAGCTTTTAAGTAGCCCCGGGTAGAATCTGTTGTCTAATGGCACTAGCTTCATATCCAGCAGTGTCTCGAAGTGGTGGTATCTCAGACTCTTAGTACTTTTCTTCCTCATTTGGTTCCCTTTCTCACTGGGGACCCTGTGGGCTTTTGCTGTCACCAATTCTCATATCAGTAAACCTAACAATTTGATAAACTGCCAGTTCATGGTCATAGTAAGGTGTTATCATCAGTTTGACGTGTTAAATATTCCATAAGGGGTTGATTTTTAAATAAAATAAATATGGCATAATTACCATGATTTTACATAAGATTTATTTTCTAAATCTAAGCAACATCTAGTGGGTTAGAATGAAGGCTTTGGGGCTGGGCGACAGCATTCTTGTCCCTGCTCTTGATGTTTCAACTCAGGTATGTTTCCTTTTTAAAAAAAAATCCTCACCTGAGGATATGTTTTTTATTGATTTTAGAGAAAGAGAGAGGAAGGGAGAGAGAGAAAAACATTGATCAGTTGCCCCTTATATGTACCCAGACTGGGGATGGAACCTGCAACCTAGGTATGTGCCCTGACCAGGGACCGAAGCTGCAACATTTTGGTGTATGGGATGATGCTCCAACCCACTGAGCCACCCAGCCAGGGCTCAGGTTTGTTTCTTAACCTGCTAGTCCTGCTCTTTTATCCGTAGAGAGGGTAATAGTAGTGTCTATCCAGGCTTGTTCTGGGGACTCAGCAAGGTAAGACCAGTGCACGTTCCAGTTGCCCTTCACGTGGTAAGTTCTCAGAAAATGTGAACTCATTATTTTTATTATATGTGTTGAGGAAAATGTGAATGAGCCTTAAGATGAGAAAGAAATTGCCAACCCTTATGCTTTCAGTAATGGCTTCATGGAGAAAGGAAGGCATTGTAATAATTCTGAAGGAGAGGAAAGGTAGCCAAATAGAAAATACGAACCTGGACAAGGGAAACCTGGAGAAAGAAAGCAAGGAAGTAAATCTTCCAGTGAGCTTATTTTTAGGTAGTTATTTCCATTAAATATCCCTTATGATCAGAGAATCAAAGAACACTGAGAATGGAGGTGTTTTTCTCCAAGTTCTTATATGTCTTTTATACTTCTTAGAAAAGAACTTATCAAAAGCAGTTTCATCGGTATGAAGCCTTAATTTTTTTTTATAACAGTTTGAAATTAGCCTGGATTTCTTCACATTGCTGAGGACTTTGTACATTAACCTTCTTAAGAAATTACTCTTTTCTAATGTAAGTCCCTTCATATCCTAGGTTTATATAGTATTTTATTTATCTGTTACTTGTTCAACTTAGATACTCTGTATTCTTGGCTAATGGATTTATAAATGCAAACTATTTTGTAAATGATATACTTTTACAAATTAAATATTAAATTAAATATTTTCTTTGAGTGTAATAACTTGAAATCATGCAATTGAGATTTTTTCCCCATTTTTGGCATAGTCATCAGTGTAGTCGTTTTCCTCTCTTATTTTGGGAAAAGTGAAAACTGTGGAGGAGTATGCTTTTTCCTTTCTAAACGTCTTGCAAATTCTTGTTTGTTCCTTATTTGTTTTTTAAAGAGTCACAGAACACACTTTGAAATCAGAAAGCAGCCTTCTCTGTGTTCATGAGCAC